ATAGAATAGGCTAGGAAATAGTGTGGGTAGCATAGTCTTCATTTTCTTAATTGACTACTTTATATTAAGCTGTTTGGTTTAAAAGCTTTTGGATGTAGGCCTGATGTTGAGATCATTATTTTAGTGGTTAACTTTACTCTTATCTGCAGCTAACATTGTACTCAATAGTGAAAGACTGAAATTATCCCTCCTAAGTTACAAGAACAGGACAAGGATGCCTGCTGCTATGAACAAATGCTTGTGTCCTGCCAAAATTTTTTATGTTGAAGCCCAAACCCCCAATATGACATTATTTAGAGTTGGTACCTTTGGGAGATAATTAGGTTTAGATGAGGTCATGAGGGTGGAATCCTCGTATGGGATTAGTGCCCTTCTAAGAAGAAACTAGAGAGCTTCTCTCTCTCTCTCTCTCTCTCTCTCTCTATAGTGTCCTTGATGTCAGGACGTAGGAAGGGGATCATCTGCAAACCAAAAAGAAGGCCCTTAACAGAACCTTACCATCTGGCACTTTGATCTCTGACTTCCAGCCTCTAACTTCAAGAAATAAATGTCTGCTGTTTAAGCCACCCAGCCTATGATATTCTGCTTTAGCAGCCTGAGCTAACTAAAATACCCACTTTCACCACAGCTATTCAACATTGCACTAGAAGCTTTAGCCATTGCAATTGGACTAGCAAAATAAATAGAGGAATCCAAATTGGATGATTCTTCTATATGTAGAAAAATCCCAGCGAGCCCACAAGAAAGCTGTTAGAGCTAATTAATCAGCAGGTACAGATCAACACACAAAAATCAGTTGTATTTCTGTACACCTTCAGTGAACAATCTGAAAGGAAATTAAGGAGGCAGTTCATTTTACAGTAGCATCTAAAAGAATAAAATACCTCAGAATAACTTTAACCAAGAAAGTTAAAGACTTGTACACTGACAACTAAAAAAAATTGCCCAAAGAAATGAAAGATCTAAATAAGTAGGAAGACATCTTGTGCTCGTGGGTAGGAAGACTAAACATCAGGATGTCTGTACTACCTGAAGTGATCCACAGATTTAATATTATACCTATCAAAATTCCAGTGCCTTTTTTTGCAGAAACAGAAAACTGATGCTTAAGTTCATATGCAATTGCAAGATACCTCCTGCTCGGCTAATTTTTGGTATTTTTATTAGAGACGGGGTTTCACCGAGCTAGCCAGGATGGTCTGGATCTCCTGACCTCGTGATCCACCCACCTCGGCCTCCCAGAGTACTGGGATTACAGGCGTGAGCCACCACGCCCAGCCCGGGTTTTTGCCTTTTCACAGATGGCAGTGGGCGTATAAATGGACTCCATTTTATCTTTGTTCCTGACTTTTTGGCGGCAGTGCGAAGTGGCTGGTTTCTGTCTGTGTTCTGTCTGCCTCCCAGAATCTCCAAAGTGTTCTGTGCATGGAGAGTATTTAATAAATGGGCATTCACTGGTAGCAAGTATTTGAGAGACTATTAGAAGTTAAATTTGTTTCAAGGTAATAAAATTATAAGGCATTTAAGAGTTTTCTCTTTAAATTTTTAAAGAAAATGTGTCTTATTTTTTAACACCCTACTAAATAATGACATTATTAGGCAGCTACTTTTAGATAAAATGTGATAAATAATACCTTCTTCATAAATTCTGCTGTAAGAATCTGTTTATATTTTGATTTAAAATAGAAGTCTTTTATGTAATTTAAAACCTCATTTTGAATGGAAGTGATATGAATAGTTTATGCAATTTCTGCCAAGGAATTAATATGGACTTTGTGTAAACCACTGTCATTTATAATCAAAATGCTTTTAACTTACATTGATGTTGGCATTAACAAGTATTGCTAGATTGGTAGCATAGAAGGAAATTGCATTTAGACTTACTAGGAGCTCATTGGTGCCTGAGGTTTTATAACGCTTTCTTTGGGCCATTTAACTGCTGGCAACTTTAATTCACATGATTCATAATACTGGAAATTTAAATTCACTCTTAATTGAAAAGTGAAGTTACTTAAATTCTTTAAATGCTAACCTTTGGAAAAATATCTGAAAAATAAAGGCACATATGATTTTGATGGCCCACTGCCAAAAGATTATCATTTACATAAATATCTCTTTCAGCAGAAGAGTTGAATGTATTGAGCTCAGAAGGTTAGAATAGAGACTTCAATCTGGAAGCCAGCAGTAGCCTGTTGGCTTGTGAACAGCAGCATTGTTCATCATACTGAGAACACTGTTGCATTCAGGCAGAAGCAGAGCTGGCATTAAAATGCAGTTAATTTGTTTCATGTGACTTGTCAGCTGTGTGTTTTTATCTAAATCTTTCTAGCTTCTCTTTTTAGTATTTTGTGTTCAACTCCTGAAATAGATGAACTACCTATTTAACTGTTTAAGCTCTGATTTTATCGCCACTTGCAACCATTCTCCAGGTTTTCCATTTCATTTTAAATATATTTAATAATCAGTTTGAACACGATTTTAATGTATTAAAAGTAACCCCATCTCACAGGGCTTTTCTGTCTTGTGCATGTATCTGTGTTTGTAAAAGGAACTTTCTGAAATTAATTAAGATAAAATTGCTACCCTTATTTTCTCACCAGCATCCTATTCTCTTCTTGTTTGCTAATTGTGTTCTCTGGATTTTTCCCTTAGATGACTTTTAGTATTTGGCTACTAGCCAAGTATTGGGTCTGAGCAGTAAAGTGCTAGTCCCAAAGAAATGCTATAACTGTTACTAACATTAGAATAAGATTCCCATTTCACTTTTTGAAGAGCATGAGAATCTTACTGCTCCTCTGCAACTGTGCTGACTTAGTTTAATCAAACAGGTAATATTCTTGTTTAATTGGAAAGATATATCCAGTGATTTTTAAAGAACTTTTTGAGGCATAATTGACATGCAATAAACTGCCATGTTTAAATTGACCGATCTCAGGAGTTTGATAAATGTGTATACCCACAAAGTCACCACCACAATCAAGAGAGTGAATGTTTCCATCAGTTCCAAAATTTTCCACCTGTTCCTTTGATACCCTCCCTTGCCCCCCTCCTGCCTCACATTCCTAACTTCACAGCAAACCCTGGTCTGCATTGATACTTTAGATTGGTTTGCATTTTCTAGTTTTATAGAAATGAAAACATACTGCTCTGTACTCTTTATTGGGTGGATTAATTTATTGAGGATTCATCCATGTTCTGTGTATCAGTAGTTCATTTTTTTTATTAGTGCTGAGTAGTATTCCATTGTGTGGATATACCACCATTTATTTATCCTTCCATCTGTTAGTGGACATTTGGGTTGTTTCTAGTTTTCTCATGTACCTCTTGTCTTTTAACTTCTCTTTCTTTTTCTTCTTTTTATCCCTCAGTGATTTGTTCTTACTGCCTTAGATCAGGAGTTGTCAACATTTGACTATTTTCAACCTACAAAAACTACGGTTTCATACAGTAGTGTTTAATAAATGTTTTTAAATGAATATTACTTATTTTTACATTCAAGAGTCTCTGCGTGATACAGAATTGTTTACATAGTGCTTGAACTCAGTTATACAAAACATTCCGCATAATAAAAGACTAAGTGACATATTATATTAGCAGGTATTGTGTCTGATTGGCAAAAGTATATGTTTTTCCTGTCTGTTTTTCTATCTTGTGTATACACGTATATAGTTAGCATGTATTACTTTTACAATAGGAAACAAAACCCTTTTTAAAAAAGGAAAAACCTATACTAACTTTTTTTTAATTTGTGTAATTTATTTATAAGTTCTTCATTTCTTGTTTTCTTTGCAAAGGAAAAACCATGGTATTCTATTTAGAAAGCATGGGTTTCAGAACTGGTCAGATTCTCTTTCCTAGTTGTGTGACTTTGGGCAGTCTGTGTAATCTGTCTGAGGCCACTGTCGTCGTCTGTAAAGCGATAACTCAGTGAATCTTCACTGAGCGTAGCCAGCTTAAGTGACCTGGAGCATATGACACGCCTGTGCATGTGCGGCTCTCCTTCCTATTTCCCCACCCACGTCCTGCCATGGCCAAAGGCAGTAGAATTCTGGCTGTACACATTGTTACCTTTTTTTGTAACCATACTCCTTTTTTGAGTTTCTTTCTCTTTTATTAAAAAAAAATTTTAGACTGGGTGAGGTGGCTCATGCCTGTAATCCCAATAGGGAAGCTGAGGTGAATGGATTGCTTGAGCCCAGGAGTTCAAGAGCCTCCTGGGCAACATGAAGAAATCTTGTCTGTATAGAAAAATATAAAAATTAACCAGGCTTGGTAGCATGAGCCTGTAGTTTTAGCTACTCCAGAGGCTGAGATGGGAGGATCACTTGAGCCAGGGAGGCAGAGGTTGCAGTGAGCCAAGATTGTGCCGCTGCACTCCAGCCTGGGTGGCAGAACAAGATTCTGTCTCAAAAATAAAAAAAAAATTAAAAAACCCTAAAAGTTAAAAATAGATTTTTGGCTGGGCGTGGTGGCTCACGCCTGTAATCCCAGCACTTTGGGAGATTGAGGTGGGTGGATCACCTTAGGTCAGGAGATCGAGACCATCCTGACTAGCATGGTGAAACCCCATCTCTACTAAAAAATACAAAAACTAGCCAGGCGCGGTGGCGGGCGCCTGTAGTCCCAGCTACTCGGGAGGCTGAGGCAGGAGAATGGCGTAAACCCGGGAGGCGGAGCTTGCAGTGAGCCGAGATCCGGTCACTGCACTCCAGCCTGGGCGACAGAGCGAGACTCCGTCTCAAAAAAAAAAAAAATAAAATAAAATAATAATAATAATAATACAAAAATTAGCCAGGTATGGTAGTACACACCTGTAATCCTAGCTACTCAGAAGGCGGAGGCAGGAGAATCGCTTGAACCTGGAGGCAGAGGTGGCAGTGAGCCGATGTGTAATCAGACCGAGATATGTAATTGTTGTATAAGTAACTTCAGGTGACATGCAGAATTTGCCTTTCTAATAGTGACATTGATAACCTTTTTCATTGATTTCTTATTTGAAGAATATCAAAGAATATTCCAACAACTAAGGATGTTGAGCCACTGCTTGAAATTGATGGAGATATAAGAAATTTTGAGGTGTTTTTATCTTCAAGGACCCCAGTTCTTGTGGCTCGAGATGTAAAAGTCTTTTTGCCATGCACTGTAAACCTAGATCCCAAACTACGGGAAATTATTGCAGGTGGGTATTAGTAGTAAATTTCATTTTTCATCTGAAGTCCTAATAATTTTTCATGTTTCTAACTTATTTGTATACATTTCTCCTGCTCTATGAAAAACCAAGAGGTATTAAACTAAGCACTACACAGAAAAATTAATGAAATTAAACATTAGGAGTCTTGGTATCCTTTTGAGAATGTAAAGAAAATCCCGTTAGTATTTGTGGAACTCACTTTATTATGATCCCTGTCCCCACCCGTCGCACCCCTGCCCAAGTCCTTACTTTGGAACTTTGGAATTGGATTTGTTTTAACATACAGTCATGACTTCATGATGTCCATCCATTGTAATTTGCCTGTCACCAGTCTTCGGTTCTTAATAGGGATATCTATCCAGAGAAGTAAGAAAATCTTTATATTACTTTTCAGATATTAACTTAAATCTGGGGACTAGAGCTTCAGGGTAGTGACATTAAGGCTTTGAAATAAATGAAGTTCTGGAGGTACCACTCTATGCACATGCACACACATAAAACCTTCATTGAAACAGTCTTTTGTATGACCTGGCTCTGCTGACCTGCCTGCCTTTGAGTTTTCCAGGAACTGTGAAGAGATCACCTTAAACTACTTCTGTATTCTGTTTTCTAGGTACCTGTTACAAGGCTGATGTCAAAAGATATTACGTGACTGTGGAATTTGTTATTGTTGTTCAGAGGTGGATCAGTCTCATAATTTGCAAACCCACAGTCTTTGCTAACATTCTATGTGTTAATACCCAATATGAGTTATTAATAGTTGATAACATGAATCAAAAGAATTGTTAGAATATCTTAAATCCTGTAAGAGTTAGAGATGAGTCAGTAGTTCTAATAACTGAAGAGAAGAATCCAGATATTGGTGACTTCGAATGGTGAAAAAGCTTTTATGCAAAGTAGCTGGGCACTTCTCACTGAAAGGCCTGTGAGTTTTCAAGATTTTCTGTCTTCTTTTTTAATCTAGTTGGAATCCCTGGCAAGAGTGATAAAGTCATGTTTCTGCCTGGTAACTAACGAAGAATGTGATAATTGGACTAATTCCTAATGTCCTGTTTTCTCTTGCCTTGTGGGGTCTGATTGAATCTTTCAGATGTTCGCGCTGCCAGAGAGCAGATCAGTATCGGAGGACTGGCGTACCCGCCGCTCCCTCTACATGAGGGTCCTCCTAGGGCACCATCAGCGTACAGCCAGCCCCCATCTGTGTGCTCTTCCACGTCCTTCAATGGGCCCTTCGCAGGTGGAGTGGTGTCACCACAGCCTCACAGCAGCTATTACAGTGGCATGACAGGCCCTCAGCATCCCTTCTACAACAGGGTAAGGAAGTTGGAGGCAGCTTTATTTTTAAGAATTTGTTCCAGGGACACCTCAGTTTTCTGCTTGTAGATTCTGTTACTGTTTTAAAACTGTGCTTTGGCTTTAACATAGGAAAAATGTAAAGTTTGAATGTAAAATATAGGAGTTTTTGGAAATCAAAATAATTTAGAATTTTAATGTGTTCTAGATCTCAAGAGGGTCTGAATATTAGATATTTTTTTCTTTTATTTAGTTTCTTGATAAGTAAATGGACTCCATAGGGTCAACAGTGACTGTCCTATGCTTCAAAGGAATCTGTTTCTTTGTTTATAAACATATATAGCAAATATTATATTTGTTATATCTTGTATAATAGCTTATATTGGCATTTAAAACAATGATAAACTTAAATTCTTCCAGTAGTTTAGTAAACCTATACTTAATATGCTTTTGTCTTTTAAATAAGAGATAATAATGGGAAGGTACTGCTATTGAAACTCAGATGTTTTTCCAAATAGTAGCACTATAGCGTATTTTTAGAGTCTTATGTTATCTTCAGTCATCTATACTTTTTTACTTAATATAAATAAGATAATTTCCTAGATGAAAAGATGAAATGCAACTAATTATGAGTGGTATTCAGGCCCTGTCAAGTTTAGTAGGCCCAAGCTATATTCTCACTTTAATGACCTCAAACACTAACATTTCCTGTAGGAAAATGGAGCATGAACTTGGGGTTACACTTTTTGGAACTGTTCTCTTAAGATGCATTGCAATTTCTTATTTTACTGTCTCCCTCTTTAGTCTAATTCGAGAAAACATAGGACCTAGTTAGTCATAGAAGCCTAGTGCCTAAACTGCCTGCGTAAATGCATTTCATATGAGCTGGGAAGAAAGAGAATGTAGAATAAAGATGACAAAGAAAGGATTCTAGAATTTAAACTTTCAGTTTTTGAAAAATGTTGCCCATATAAGTAATTAGGTACTGTTTAAAGAGGCCCTAGAAATGTTATTCCATTTTTCTATTTGGACAAGGAGACAAAGGTGGAATAATGGCATTTTATCATGTATTCCATCTTTTAAAATTTAACTGTGTGGTAGGTAGTGTGAAATGCAGGTTTTTATTTACCATTCTTAAAATCTGCTGTGTAAGTTTACATAAAATAGCTCTGTTGATGCCAACTGAAAATTTGAAACCAAGAAGCTTATTTTAAAAAACTGAAGATTCCCTTACCATCTAGCCTGAGATACTATGTTCACTAATTTCATGAATAACAATAATGTAATCATGCTTTAATAGTATTTTATCATTTTTTAAAACATTTACAGTTTTCTTTTGTTTTTAAATCTAGCTACTTTTCGCTGTAGTTAGTTAAGATTTTTTAGTCTTAAAGTTAAAAGCAGAATAATTCTTCTAAGCTGGCAGGAGTAAAAAGGGTGGGCAACATTTCACCTCATGTAACAAAACTTCATGAACTGCAGTCTTTATGTTTAGCCCATATAATTTGATATCTTCTGTTTATATGAAACTGGTTACAAATGCATGCCATTGTTATAAATCTCACACAAGCAGTGGATTCCCCACCTATTTTTTGTTGTTGTTTTTTGTTTGTTTGTTTTTTTTAAATATGCTTGCTTATTTAGGATAGAAACTCCAGGGTGTAAACTAGAGGTGAACTCCAGGAACTTGTAATAACATTATTCTTGGAATTTGTGCCAGGGTGTTCTCATATATTCCAGACTTATTTTGGTCTTATTTAGGCTAATCTCTTTTATTGGTAAGGAATAGTATTAAGATTCCAGTGTGCTGCTTTTAAAAAGATGATGAGTTCATACTGGTTAAATCACTTAGAACCTGACAGATGATAAGCTTGTAAACATGTTAAATATAGAGAGAAACTCGTGTCAAACTGTAAAGTGCAAAACTTTAGTTGCTCATTTTTCTAAAAAAAGCTTACATGAAATGACCAATATAAAAATGTAAGTAATATGTCTTAAGTTTGAGTTTAGTATCTTATGGAATATGAGTGAGGCTTTTTTTTTTCTTTTGTTTTGTCATTTGCATTAAAATTTTGGAGTTGTGTGTTACTGGTTTCATTTGAAAAATCTCATTACACTTTCATTTCTGTAATTGTTCACCCCTTTTTTGTTACGTGTTTTTCCCTAGCCATTCTTTGCCCCATACCTTTACACGCCAAGGTATTACCCTGGCGGCTCCCAACATCTCATCTCACGTCCATCAGTAAAAACGAGTTTGCCCAGAGATCAGAACAATGGCCTAGTAAGTATATAAAAGGGTAACGAAAATATTAATTTAATAATAAACATAGATAGCATTCGAGATTTGCTTATTTCCTTTACATAGTAAAAGAGTACAAGTTATTTTATACATAGTTTTAAGAAACATAACCTATTACTAACATAAAATGTATTTGTTTTCATTTCTGGTAAATGTCTATGGAAGGAAAATGACTAGCAGTCTCAGCGAATAAGTGTTGACTTGTTTATAACCAGAACTTTCTGGCTTGTAAATATAGTGTTTACTACCAAAACTTTTAAAACTAAGCCTTTACATTTGGTAATTTCTAATATCTTTGTAAAGAACATGTGTATACAGTACCTTTATAGTGTATATATATATATTAGCACCATGATATAAAAAATAGAGGATGTATTGAAGGAAGAACATTTTAGTCAAATGACAGGAATTAAACAAGATAAGGGAAATTCTTCCAATGAGCTATTGAATCTAATAAAAGACATTTGTGCCCAAAACATTAGAGGTTCCTGATGATAAAAGTAATAATTTAAAAAAAGAAACTCTATTAATATATTTTTATAAATCAGAAGGCAAAAAGCTACAGCACTTACACTGCTGTTTATTTTGTAAAGTGTTGTGCAGGGAAGATCTATTCACATAAACTGTTGAGTTTCAGTGTCATGTATTATTTTACCATCATGTTCATTTGTCTTCACAGTTGGCTCCCCTCTTCCCCTTTTCACCCACACTCTCCTGTTTTGTGTTGTTAGGAAGTTATCAAGGAGGATGCTGCTGAGGGGCTTTCTTCACCCACAGACTCCTCGAGGGTAATGGAGTAGTCCTGTGGTGTGGATCGCTGGCATCTCATTGCTTCTGCCTCAGTAATGACTGTCTTAATTGTGATGATAGCAGCTCACTAACTCTGCATTTGTGGTGTGATGAGCAGCTAGTATAGAGTAGCTGAATGCTAATAATTATGGTTCATGAATTAATTAAAAAGCGGATGTTTAACTTCACTCATTTCCTCCTGCTTTTCCCCTTTTTCAATACATGGGATGGGTTTTTTTTGATTCTCCGATAAGGAAGGGCTTTTTCTAGCAGCCGTCAGGGGTGTTCAGTTGGTAGTATTTGCTCCTTATTGTGAGCTCTAGCTTTGCCTTTGACTGTTTCTGTTAAGCCTGTAGTTGGTATTACACATGTGGAATATTTTAGAAAAGTATCCAGTGTTAGCCTTGAGACTACAAAAAGACACGAGCTAGATGATCTAGACCAAAAATGCATCTTTAGTAACTCAATCTTGGTGTCTACATTTAGTTAAGTCTTAGTCTGAGTTTTAGTGCAGTACTATAATACTTTTCTTTACCTATATATTTGTTAAAATAAATTTTCCAGATAAACAGATCATTCAGCATGTAAAAGAAATTATTTATTTTTTGCCAACACCTTAAAGTAGGTTTCTTTAAAACAAAACAAAACAAATAAACACACCTCGTAGAGGGAATCACTTCATAAATTACTGTGTAAGTGGCTGGGCGCAGTGGTTCACGCCTGTAATCCCAGCACTTTGGGAGGCTGAGGTGGGTGGATCACTTGAGGTCAGGAGTTCGAGACCAGCCTGGCCAACATGGTGAAACCCCGTCTCTACTAAAAAAAAACCGAAAATTAGCCAAGCGTGTGGTGGGCACCTATAATCCCAGCTGCTTGGGAAGCCGAGGTAGGAGAATCGCTTGAACCTGGGAGGTAGAGGTTGCAGTGAGCTGAGATCGCACTGCTAGACTCCAGCCTGGGTGACAAGAGCGAGACTTCTCAAAAAAAAAAACTACTATATAAGGCTTCGTACTTAATAAGAAATAAGTTTGTAATGAGCTTTAAAATCTTCATTTAGAGCCCAGGTGACAGAGCAAGACTCTGTCTCAAAAAAAGAAAAAAAGAACCCAGTTTGTATTTTAACTTCAGTTGTTTTATTTATAGACTATGCTACACCCATGTAATATGGTCAGTTTAGCCTATAGCTGTGCTGAAATGTGGCATAGCAGTTAGAGTTAACATGGTGAAATATTGCATCCTAAGTTTATCTGTAATTTTTAACTTAAAACATGCAGTTTGGCAGGCAATAGATTGTTTTTTTTTTAGACAGAGTTTCACTCTTTCAGTCGGGCTGGAATGCAGTGGTGCCATCTCTGCTCACTGCAACCTCAGCCTCCCGGTTTCAAGTGATTCTCCTGCCTCAGCCTCCTGAGTTGCTGGGATTACAGGCACCTGCCACCATGCCTGGCTAATTTTTGTATTTTTGTAGTAGCGACGGGGTTTCACCTTGTTGGCCAGGCTGGTCTCAAACTCCTGACCTTGTGATCTGCCCACCTTGGCCTCCCAAAGTGCTGGGATTACAGGTGTGAGCCACCGTGCCCAGCCAGCAATATTTTTTTAACTTTAATTTCCTTGGAGTTAATGTTAGTAAGAGAGAAAAAGAGAACCGTTGTGCTTTCATTGAGAGACTGATTCTTTTAAAGTCATTAACGTTTCAGCTGAAGTGTTTAAGTGACTTCAGTTATCCGCAGTAAACTACAATAATGCTGTTTAGTGCTTATGGAATCTTTATGGGTCATCATCATTATATGCAAGAATGACCTTTAGTTTAGTCAGAGAGCCTTTGGCATATAGATTCATTGCATGCAATTCAATTCTCCGAGCTAAAATTCCTCAGCAAATTTTTGAAGAAAATCAGATACTGTGAAGAAGTTAATGGCCTTAATGACACAGACATGCTGACATAGTAGCTATTCCCATGCTCAAGAATGTAGACAAATACATGTCATTAAAAGGTGTCTGTAGTTTTTTTTAGGGAACAGTAAAGGAGCATTAGGCAAATTTTCAAATGAATTTTTGGAGAAGGGGAAATCATGTAATTCGTGAGATGTGTTTAGAAGCTCAGCAAAGGTGCACTCTGCATATATTAGTGACTTTGTCTAGTAAAATAACCATATCATTTGCTTTTATTTTACTATGAAAAGATCCTTTTATGATTAGTATAGCAAATAATAGATGCTTACTAAGCTTCCTTTGCTTTTAAGAAATTAACAATGACAATAGCATGTAAAATTTGTTTTGTTGAAGCCTAGAAAAAGTAAGTAGTCACTTAGTTCAATGTCAGATTGAAAGCTGTGGTGGAAAGGCAAAGAATCAGCACGTGGGAACATTGCCAGAACTTTGTAGTTGGACCAACAGAGAGTACCTGATAGAAGAGATGTAGCCCATCAAGCCCTGGAGCAGAAAACTGTTTCTGGACGATGGGACTTCCCGTTGGTCCCATCTCTGCTCAGTCAGCTGTCCCTGTACAAAGCTTGTAGAAAAGTCAAGAGCTACACAAACGTCTTTGGACAAATTGTCGTGTCACAGGGTAATGTGTTAAGAAAGCCAGACCATGAGGGGTTAACCAGCTATGGTCTTTTCAAAATAGAGGTGATCCCCTATATATATATGTGTGTGTATGTGTGTGTATATATATGTGTGTATGTGTGTGTGTGTGTATATATATATATATTTGCCATGAGGAACATCTGAATAACCTTTATAAATAAGATCCTTATAAAAATAATTGCGTTTTCTCACATTAAGGAACATTGTAGTGCTTATATACCTTGTGAAGTCCAGGCAGGGACTTCTCAGATAAATTATAGATATATCCAAGTGTTCCACAGAAGTGAAGATTTATATAAATTAATAATATATAATATGAATAATATATATTATAAAATATTTATATTAATATATAACATATTTATATTATATACTATATAATAAATAATATATTAATAATATACTAATATAAAATATGTTAATATAAATATATTAATAATATAAATCCTCACTTCTGTGAAACATTTGGATATATCTATAAGCCTCCATACTAGCTTTTAAAAAATAATTGTGTAATAGAGCAAAAATATATGCCAAATCTTGTGAAACCAGGTTAAAAAATTAGTACTATATGCAAGACATGCTCCCCCGAATATTAGGGCTAGAAAGGAACAGTGTTTTTCAAACTTCCAAAGCATAGAAGCTTTTAGAAATGAACTCTTAATCAAAACTCCAGTTTATAAAACCAATAAACGCAGAATCCTGGCACCCACATTACACTTGCCTTCCCTCTTGAGGGTCCCCCAGGAGTGCTAGTCTCCACATGGCACAGATGGAACGTGTGAGACTTACTTGAGGGACACAGGAAGGGGTGCCAGATTTGGAACTAGAATGCAGGAGACCATGGCACTCACCACCATGCTGGTGGCTCCGCCCCGTTCGTCCTGAGCATGGCTTAGTCAGGTATTTGGTCTTTTGAGGTAAACAGACCCTGAGGATGAGCTCTTTGCCTTGGACACATTACTTCACACCTCTGATTCTCAGCTTTCTCACCAGGAAAAGCAGACCTGCCTCATAGGTCTGATTTAAGGATTAGTCAGCCTTAGCATACTTTAAGTACTTCGTTATTATTATTATTATTATTATTATTATTATTACTACTGCTACTACTGCCCAAAGGCCAGAATCCATGGAGCTTTAAAGATGCAGAACTCAGACTGTTTTTGGTTAAATCATCTTTGTCTCAGTCATGGGAGTGGTGTACAAATACTCCAATCGATTTAGATTCACACAGACTTTTTATCTGTTGATGCTTCTTAGGCCTAAAGGTGTTAATCGGTTTGTTTTCTTAGAATTCAGAAGAATTTCTAGGTTATTTGAATACTTCATACACTTTAAAATTTTGAACGCTTTCCAGGGATATTTTCATTGGTGCCTTTACCTTCTTTGAGTCCAGTTCCCGCTAGGAAATGGCAGCATTCACACCATTCTGTGACCCTGCCGAAGCGAAGGACCCAGCATCGAGGGCCTGTGTCCGGCCAGGCCTCCTCAGTGGCATGCTATTCTGTCCTCTCAAAGAGTTGCTCTAAAAGCTCTGTGGTCTGGCTTAATTTAAGGTATGCTGCTCCTGGTGGTAACTGTGTTTCATTGAAAAGCGCATGTTCAAAGGAGCAGTAAAGCATTTCTTCATTCTGTCATTTTTCCCTGAATTATTTTACATTGAGTACCACAGATGCTTGTGTGATCAGTTCAACAAATATTTATTGAGTGTAAGAGGCGCTATTCTCATGGGATACAGCAGTGAACAAAACTGATGAAAATCCTGCCTCATAGAGTGTGGACCTGAAGGCCACCGACGGAATTATCAGTTCTATGAAGTCGTTCTTTCTTGACCTCCTCAGCCACAGGGTTTACTGGTTACCTTTGGACAGCTTTATTTAGATGACTTTTATACCTTGTTGAGAAAGCATGACAATAATTAGCACAAAGTTTATTCATAAAGAATTTCAGAACTGCAAAGGCAGTGTTAACACAGTATCATGATCTCCAGTGTGCTGTTACCTTTACCTTTAGATGTTGATGAAAACTATTGAATGAAGATATTAAAACTGAAAGTCTTGGTTTTCATCAAACAGGATCCAGTCAGTGGAGTGACCGAGTAAAAAGTGAAAACAAGTCCCCATGGGAGGGTTCCTGCAGCAGTCCCTGCGCAGTCCCCATGTGGTGGCTCCTGCAGCAATCCTGCACTTTGGAAGGCTGAGGAAGGAGGATGACTTGAGCCCGAAAGTTCAAGACCAGCCTGGACAACATAGCAAGACCGTTACTTTAAAAAAAAAAAAAAAATAGCCGGGCAGGGCATGGTAGTGCACACCTGTAGTCCCCCTGCTTGAGAGGCTGAGGTGAGAGGATCAGTTTAGTGCCAAGATCACACCACTGCACCCTCAGCCTGGTGACAGAGCAGATCTTGTCTCAAAAAAAAAAAAAAAAAAAAAAAGCGGGGCTCATCTGTAGAGAATTTTTATTTTTGCCACTGATTTAGAAGTTAAAGCTGTCTCTCATTGTTCAGGAGAAGACATGGACAAGAAGGTTAAAGGTGCCATAGGTAGGGAGCCAAAGGCATTTCAGGTTGTGTTTAGGCTTCAGGCTCAGGACAGGTGCTCCCTGTCAGCTCTCAGTGACTTTGCACAGTAACCTCAACCAGCTTTAACACCAGTCACACTTTTAAAAGTGTCTTAGAAGTGAATTTGTACTATTCTGTTTGAATTTGGAAAAGTATTTGCCCATTTTTGCCTTTTATTAAAGTATAGTGAAAAATTGTCTTCACTTCCAGCTTGAAAGTCTTTGTACCAGACTTCAACTCAAGAGAACTTTTTTTCCTAAACAATTTTCAGCTAAATTGATTGGGATATTTTCACAGAAATAATATTACAGTAAAGTTATGAAATCCTAGAGTACAGTTAAAAGTTTAAAAATAACAAAATTATGTTCATTGCAGTAGTTTAGTACTTGTGTTTTTATTTTGCTTTTTTTCATTTTGGTTTGTTTTTTTGAGACAGAGTCTCATTCTGTCACTCAGGCTGGACACAACCTCAGTTCACTGCAACCTCTGCCTCCTGGACTGAAGTGATTCTCCTGCCTCAGCGTCCCGAGTAGCTGGGACCCAGGCATGCGCCACCACACAATGAAAAATTAGCCCAGCTAATTTTTGTACTTTTAGTAGAAACAGGGTTTAACCATGTTGGCCAGGCTGGTCTTGATTGCCTGACCTCAAGGCATCCACCACCGTGGCCTCCTAAAGTGTTGGGATTCCAGGTGTGAGCCACCATACCCTGCCAGTACTTGTGTTTTTTAAAAGATTGCTCTTAAAATGTAGTGTTATGCCTAATCAGCCAACTTTGACCTAGTATTTCTTAATTAGCTTGAAGAGTAAGTTACATTTTCCAACCATTTCTTAAGTAGCTTGAAGAGTAAGTTACGTTTTCCAACCAGGTTAATAATTTTGTGCTTTCTTTTGTGTTTTGGATGTCTTGTAGTAAACTGTAATTTCCTTAGCACTCCTATTTTGGTATTTTTGCAAATCTCTACAGACAACTTTTAAAAAACCTATTTATAATAAGGTCAATAGTGTAAACTAGAAAACAGGGTTTCCACGAAGTGCTCCAGATACTGAATATGTTAAAAGAAAGACATCAGATGTTAGGCTAGCAAAACCCTGTCGTTTAATGTGCTAAAAGAGTGTTGTAAATTAACTTTGGTACAAATTGCCAGTCATCTCTAGATCATTTTAAGCATTTTAAGAATATTTACTATCAGTCTAAGTACAGAAGAATAATTGCCAGCAGTGATTATTTGCTTTGGATTAGAGTTTTTAAAAATCCACCTCACTGAAATGGTTATGTTCATCACAGTTTGCAAGGGTTGTCTGTTTCTCGAGCTAGAAGCTCTTGGGGCCATTCTTATGAAATGATATTTAGCGCATCTATTGTGTGCCACATACCCAAAGAAGCAAAACTCAAATATGAAAGTGTATTTCTGAACATGACCTATAGTGTGGCTAGATATTTTATGATCATGCAATAGTCTAAGTAACTAAACCTTCTTATTCAGTATTTTTAAGTTAATGTTAAACTTGCATATAGTAGGAATGTTGACTTTTCATAGCCAATTTGATGTACCTCATTTTCTTATTAAATGCATGACTCATGATTTATTCTTCCAATACAAAAAAATATAATTTTTTAAGAGTGTAATTGGAAGATGACCAAGCACACGTGAGTGGAATGCAGCTACTGTAGGTGGGGGTGTGTATGCATGCACGTGTGCTCCTTGCTGTGTGCTGCTGTCCGTGGTCTGTTCAGAGTGAAGGGGAAATAGGAGGAATGACCAAGCTCTGCCTGTGTGTATTAGACCTTTATAGATGTGCATCGGATGTATTACTTTATGCTCTTGTCCTTCACTCTGTTTTATTCCTTCCTTAAAGCCATGTGACTCTGGGTTTAACAAACAGAGACAGGTACAGAAACTCTCAGTGAAATCTTACTTTTCTTATTAGACTACTAGAAGCAATCATTGGCAACTTCATACTGGGCTGTCTGTAAATCTGTGCTTGTTAAGGTGCCTTCTCTTTATTACTTGCTTCCAGCCATTGCATGGCACTCATTTCTGACTAATCAATTCTGTGCTTATTTAATACATTTACCAAAGATGATCATGTTTCAGAGTGTAGTTTTAATCTACTTAGAATACACAATGATATAGTTACCTCAAGGTCATTTCAGTATTTTGATAGCTTTACTTTTACCTGGAGAAATTCTGATCTGTGTAAATTCTGAAGTTTATTTTTAACAGTTTAAACACACTAATATCTTCTGCATTCGGCTTTCTGAATTAGAAAATTTTTTCAACAAATTCTGATGTTAAAATCAATATGCTAAAATGGTCTATTCTTGACTCATAACAGATAATTGCAAGTAAGAATGCATGATAAACATTAAAAGATTATCATTTGAACTAGTCTGTGTATTCTCAAAGTAATATGCTTAGTTTCTAGTAAGAATTTGCCTACTGAATTATTGAATATGCTTTTTGCCCTTTCCTTATCATTTTTGCACTCTTTCTCCTCCCTTTTATGAGATTTCTACCCCAAAATTATTGGTTGTAAGATTCTTGTGGTTTCAAAATAATTTTCTTATGTGTGATTATTTTAGAAAAGGTCTAGTAGGTAATTACCATTTCTTCTTTATTCAAAGAAGCATATTATAACACATTAATTGATAATTTAGCTCTTTATAAAGCCCAACTTACTGTAAGAGTCAGACTATAGTTTTGATGGAATTACAAATATCTTAATGTTCATGTGTCTTTCTTTTCTTATAAAGCTTTTAAAAGTAATTCAGAGGTAACATATATATTCTACATAATCCCCAATGAAGGATAAAATATGCTTTAAAGTAACTGATAAATTGTAAAAGTTGTAAAAAGATTGTGAGAGTAACATCGGGTAGAGCTTTTTGCTTTAAAGGAAAAGGGCAGTATCTTTATTGATGTGTCTCTGTTGCCGATTTCTCAGCTTCTCCATGGACATAAAATTCTCTTCAGTATTTTACAATTTTCCCTCCAAAGCTGACAGTTAGTTTGATCCATGTCTATTATACTTGTTGTTTTTAGCACAATCAGAAGTAGAGAGATTTGGGGATTTTTGAAATAAAGTTTTTACTGTAAAATAATTTTAACCCTAAAGAAAAGATGCAAAAAAATACTATTCTGTCAATGTAAACATCTTTCATAACTGTAGTATAATAATCAAAAGCAAAAATTAAAATTGGTTTAATACTATTAACTAAACTACAGACTTTATATGAATTTCACTAGCTTTTCCACAAATGTCATTTTTCTGGTCCAGGATTCAATTAAGTTGCATTTTATTTCTCTGTAGTCTGTTTTAATCTGTGACAGTTTCTTGATCTTTCCTTATCTTTCATGACCTTAATTAACACTTTTAAGGAATACTGGCTAGTTATTTTGTGGAACGTCCCTCAATTTGGGTTTGTCTGATGTTTCCTTGTGATTAGAAGGGGACTGTGTATTGCTAGAAAACTGCAGGAGTGATGCTCTGCCCTTCCCAGTGCATCAGACTCGAAGGTTCATAATGTCCATAAGCCTCCCCACCACTGATGCTAACCTTGGTCACTTGGTCAAGGTGGCATCTGCCAGGTTTCAGCGCTGTAAAGTTTTATTGTTCCTTCTATAACTAGTAAATATCTTGGAGGAGATACTTTGAAACTCTGCAGATATCCTGTTTCTGCTTATACTTTTGCGCATTAATTTTCGCTTCCATCTGTGGATCATGTGTACACGCACTGTTACTGTGTTTGCCTAGTGGTCATTTTCTGCTTTCCTCTTCTACATTTATTAATTGGAATTTTGTAAAGAAAAGCTGTCTCTGCTTCCTAATTAATTCACTTTTTTCAATTATTTAGTCATATTAGTATGGACTCATGGATATTTATTTTATCTGTGAGGCATAATCCAGTAAGATCATTAGTTATTTTGTCGATTAGACTATTTTTTGTGATTTTTTTGAACAACAAAAAATGTAAACAAGTGAAACTGTATCCAGAGCAAGGAGACTGGTTGAGGAATAAAAGCATTTGAAAGATAGGAAAGATAAATATGACTCAACAATAAGAAGAAATGAAGGACTGGCATGTTACGACATGGTGGACCTTGAAAACATTGTTAAGTGAAAGAAGTTGGAAAAAGGAAAATAGGAAGTTATAAGACCTGATAATTTAGAGTTCTGGTTCAAGTTTACCACTAACTATTTGTTCTGTGACTTTGAAGTCCTAACTTTGACCAGGCTCATGCACCCTCTAAACCACAGTGGCCACAAGATGCATTTATCGTTGACCACAGGCAGATGGTTTGTTAGCGTCCACATTCCGAAAATGTTTTATTTCCGAAACATTCCGAAAATGTTTTACTAGACTTATTTATTATTTTGACTTTCTTTTTAAATGAGAACAAATTTTAATAGATGGTATTTACTTTCACGTGTGTTAAGAATTAATACTGTTGTTTTATATTTACATGATAATGTAACAGATGCTAAAGGAAGTTTTAGATCCCTTGGATACAATATGATCAAGATTGAAAACTTCAACTCTTGTAACTATTGAGGTAGTCTGTAGAAACACTCAAAGTTGCTTAATTGTCTAGTATAGGTACTTTTACATTATTTTGTAGGTTTATTTTTTGTATTCATATAATATTGGCATCAGTAGTTTTCTGTCTTTTTGGATGTGTGGTTTTTTTTAATTTCTCTTCTTCCTCTTATTAAGCACAGCACCCTTCTCTGTTAAGGTTAGGCAGTAAACATTTGAGAAGTTGGCCTAGGCTTTGCTCATGAAATGTTCTGTTTTCTTAGGAAAACTGGTTTTGACCAGGCTGTATCAGCTATAGTGAAAGCTACTCATTAGGTTATAATAGTAACTAAATCTATTCCCTAATGGTATTTCCTTACCATGCTAAACACATTTGTTGTTTTTACCGTACTTCATGGTATAACTTAATGAGTTTTTCTCTGTCACATGACCTCATTATAGATGGCATTAAATGCTTATTCATACCTGTATTTGTCCTTGACTTCTCTAGGGGTCAGGCGCAGCCCCAGGCCCAGTGGTATTACTGAATTCACTGAATGTGGATGCAGTATGTGAGAAGCTGAAACAAATAGAAGGGCTGGACCAGAGTATGCTGCCTCAGTATTGTGCCACGATCAAAAAGGTGAGGCAGCCATTTCTACACGGACCAGAGACAGCGCTGGGAGTGGAAGACAGGACTCTGGGTCGTGTACACTTTACCTACAGTTTCCCACACATGCGTTCCCTGTTAAAATGAGAAAGCTCTAAATGGAAAACATAGTTCTTACTAGTTTGTATTCTAAAATTGCCCTGTTTTCTCTTATTTTATAAATGGATAAAATAAAGTAGCTATCTCACCATGTTCTTTTTTAAATAACCTAATTCAAGTAAAGGATGCCTTGATGAGAAATACAAAGCTCCGAGGGATTCCCATTGGGATAAGCAGAACTCATCTTTCTAGTGGGGAACAGAAAACCTTTTGTGCTACATTTTTTTCTAATTGTAATATTTGTTAGTGTGATTTAGTAATTATCAAAGTAAGCCACACTTGCCTCATTTTCTCCAAATTCTCATTTTCATGTCATGTAGGACTTAGGATCATGTCACATTTGATGAAACCTCATAGGTTTGGGTTTGCAAGGTTAATGCATTTGCATAATTTTTTTTTTCTTCTAAGATCCTATTGCAATTCTAGCAGCTATCAGGAAGTTGGATAGAGATGCCTGAGATTTGGGGGAAGGTTTTAACGAAGTCATTATAGTAGATACTTCACTAAGGTGTACTTTTTATATCAGAGTACCATGTAATAAAGTAGAACATTAATAACCAGCCTCTAATATTTATATACTTGAAAGAATGACATCTGAGAGAAGTTTTTAAAAGAATTATGAGCATATGTAGACACCATTTTACTCAGCCACTTTTAGAAAGGTTTCAGATAATGTCAGTTTCCTTACAGAGCTGGCTCGTGCTAGTCCCTGTTTGCATGAGTCAAACACCAGCTTTTCCATGGACAAGCCCCACTTTCTCCTCCAGGCAGCTGGTTGGTGTCAGGAAAGAGCAGGGTCTCCCACATGAGTCCTTTGTGATGATTTTGTTCCCGTCGAGGTAGTGGTTTTCTCCCCACTCAGCTCTTTGCTCCCAGGCCCTGGCTTTCTGAAGCCCCTCAGAGCCGCTGGCCTCCTCCGTGCTGAGGGCTTCGTGGCATTGGTGCAGCAGGACCTCTGTTACACACTTGCTGTGTATACTGTTTTCTTCAGGATTAACTTGGAAACTGAACATTCTACTGATTATAAACATAGCTATTTCATAAGTTTGCCCCAGTTAATAAAGTCAGGTTTTACATTTTATAAAAGCAGTAAGCTACCTATTATTAATAAAGAAAATGCTGTTGTTTCATTTAGGGGAAACTAGAATTACAGGGAACCAAAAGTGATAACTTCCTTTTTTATGATTTTTTTTTTCTTTGGGATGGAGTCCTGCCATGTCACGCAGGCTGGAGTGCAGTGGCGTGGTCATGGCTCACTGCAACCTCCGCCTCCCGGGTTCAAGCAATCCTCCTCCCTCAGCCTCCCAAGTAGCTGGGACTACAGGCATGTGCCACCACTCCCAGCTAATTTTTGTAGTTTTAATAGAGATGGAATTTCACCATGTTGGCCAGCCTGGTCTCAAACTCCTGACTTTAGGTGTTCCACCCACCTCAGCCTCCCAAAGTTCTGGGATTACATGCGTGAGCCACCGCGCTGGGCCTTGTGAATTTAATAGACTGGGAAATTAGTGGGTGGGCATTCTTCATATCTGTATCTAATATAACGGATAAACAAGTTCACCAGGCCTACTTCGTTTAGAACTTTATTAGTGACCAACACGCTTATGAGGACAGATGTCTTTGTCCCCTCCCAGCAGCTTGTGTTCATGTTCATACTTTCTAAGATTAGAAAACAACAACTAACAGTTTTGTTGTTGCTCATGACAGCATAGGTAGTTTTGGAAATAGTTAGGAGGGTTAGCTCTTCGATTGGTTCCAGCAAATGCCTAAGACATTTGGGAAAATATGGAGTGGCTTATGTTGTTCAAATTTAGCTTGTTTATTGTATTATTATATGGGATGGTCAGCCTTTCTGGTCTCTAAAGACTTTCTTAAAACTAAATATAAGCATACTTTGCAATCACTAGTAATTCAGAATATTTCATATTCTGTCTTTATATACCCATAATTGTTTTAATTTTTACTCAGGCAAACATAAATGGCCGTGTGTTAGCTCAGTGTAACATTGATGAACTGAAGAAAGAGATGAATATGAATTTTGGAGACTGGCACCTTTTCAGAAGCACAGTAAGATATTTATAACATTGTGATATTTACAACATTATTTTATTATAACATCCAAATTATAACATTGTAGAAAACCAGTATCAATAAGTACTGGCCTAAACTGGTATTTTTTTCATATTTTTTTAAATTTAAAAACTGTATCTTACACTTATATGCAGTTGTGTGTTGTGGAAAATACACACAGCAGCACTTGGCAGCCTTTGCCTTTTTGGGCATTTCACTCAGTGATTTGGGGAAGAGTCCGCCTGCCAGTTCTTCATGGTTTCACCTGCCCTAACTCTCATCAGGCTCCTCAAAGCCTTTGAGGCCTTGACCTTCAGCATTCGTCCTTATAGAGGGCTTGCATTGCCCAGGTTTAGCTAGGATCCTGTTAAGTCTGTTTACATGTGTGATCACCCTCGGTACTTGATCAAATGCCTCACCACCTCCCCGCCGTAGGTGATGTCTGCTCACCCTGGCCATCGGCGTACCCAGAGTCCCCCACTCTTGCTGCCTCCCCTTAGTGATATTCCATCCACGGCGCCCACCCTGCCCCTTGGTGGTAGATCCCCACTCATTCGCGCTTATTCTGAATTGAACTCCCTTCTGTAGTGAGACTGCTTTTCCCTGTTGCCGTAGTTCTGAATAAAATCTGGATCTACTGCTCTACTCCTGGCCCCCTCTGGTTTTGACACATGCCAGCTGCATTTTGCTTTGTCTTAAGTTTTAAACAGGAGTAATAATTTAATGGACAAATTGCAGTGTAGTATATGCATAGTGGTTTCTACCATTGCTTCCTTTATTATTAGTTAACATGAAAGATCAGCTGATGTGTAAAACATATTCACTAGAAATTCACTTACCAGAAGTATGCTTTCTCATTGCTGTTGCAGTAGCTTTATGTTTTATTTTTCTAAACTATTTCTAAAGCTTCCAAAATATGATTTGTTAGTGTAAATATTTACATTTTTCTTCTGTTAAGGTACTAGAAATGAGAAACGCAGAAAGCCAGGTGGTCCCTGAAGACCCACGTTTCCTCAGTGAGAGCAGCAGTGGCCCAGCCCCACACGGTGAACCTGCTCGCCGCACTTCCCACAGTGAGCTGCCTCACACCGAGCTCTCCAGCCAGACGCCCTACACACTCAACTTCAGCTTTGAAGAGCTGAACACGCTTGGCCTGGACGAAGGTGCCCCTCGTCACAGTAATCTAAGTTGGCAGGTATTTATTGAATGGCATTTTTCGTATGATTGAAGAATAAGGGCACCGTTCAGTACACTGAGATGATGTGGGCATTGAAACAGTCATTCAGAAAATGCTTACTAAATACCTAAGTGGACAAGAGACAAGATGGAGGGCTTCCTGTACTCAAGGAGCTGCATCCATCTGGAGAGGGGCAGTCAGTGAAAACAAAGAAAAAAGTAGCTCATGTAGACATTGACGAGAGCTGAGATTTCCATCAGGGTCACAGCATGCAGAGTCAGTAGGGACGGGGCTACTTGAGCTAGGGTGGTCAGCAAATTCTGCCTTTCCCAGGCGATTTTCCTGTTACATTCAGTAACTGTTGGTTAAAGTACATCTTCGTTGGAACACTGGCCACGTAGTGTCCCTTTGAGCACCATCCTTTGGTTTTCCAGGCCGCCTGCACACCCTTCCTGGATATTGGTTTCTTCTCATCTGGCATTAGATGTAGGCGCATTCTTCCTTTGGAGATTCTTAGAAGAGGGAGGCCAGGTGAGGGGTGGGGCAGGGACCAGAGCAGAGTGAGAGATGCAGGAGGAGTAGGGGGAGCGAGGAGAGCGCGGCAGGAAAAGCAGAGCAGAGCACAGAGAACAATGGGAGGAGGCACAGTGGGAGGCAGCGAGGAACACCGAGTGGGCAGGGCAAGGCAGAGCAGCATTGAGGAGGAGCAGTGCCCCGGGGAAGGAAGAAAATGTCCTATTTCCTTGAGAAGGTCCCCAGCAAATTCACTTTGCTCCTTCTTTTTTGTTTTAGCTTTTGCTCTTCACCCTTCTTAAACTTTCTTGATTCTTCTCCTTCCGTTTCCCTCTTCTTTTTCCTCATCTGTACGTTTTGCTCCTTGTTTCTTAGCTATTCTGGGATCTGAAGCAATTTCTAATTCTAAAACTTCATATTGGAAATAAACTTGTAAAACTATTTTATTTTTCTGTTTACTAAGGCCCAACTATTGGCCTCATTGCATTTTGTATTTTATCGATGAAGTTGACTTTGGCCTTAAATGAAAGCTAAATGTTTGAAGTCATAAAACAAGTGCTGTGGCCAAGCATGTGGCACATGCCCATAGTCCCAGCTGCTCAGGAGGCTGAGGCGGGAGGATCGCTTGAGTCCAGTAGTTTGACTGTAGCCTGGGCAACACTGCAAGATCCTGTCTCCTAAAAATAAAATAAAAACCAGAAACAAGTGCTAAGATTATTGGTTAATACAATGTTGAATTATACTTTTAAATATTAACAATAAACTGATTTTATTAAAATTTATAGAAAGCTTTCTAATAACAGCATTGTTTATAAGGTCACACCTTTTGCTAAACTGTGTTATGTAGAATTCTTTTAAAAGAATTTAATATTTTGATGACTTTTTAAATGGTTAGTGTACATATATATTTCCTAAGCTGATGTTTATGCCTTTTTTTTCTTATTTGAATTTTTAAATTATTTTTTTTCTGTCTTCACAGTCACAAACTCGCAGAACCCCAAGTCTTTCGAGTCTCAATTCCCAGGATTCCAGTATTGAAATTTCAAAGCTTACTGATAAGGTGCAGGCCGAGTATAGAGATGCCTATAGAGAATACATTGCTCAGATGTCCCAGTTAGAAGGGGGCCCAGGGTCTACAACCATTAGTGGCAGATCTTCTCCACATAGCACATATTACATGGGTCAGAGTTCATCAGGGGGCTCTATTCATTCAAACCTAGAACAAGAAAAGGGGAAGGATAGTGAACCAAAGCCCGATGATGGGAGGAAGTCCTTTTTAATGAAGAGGGGAGATGTTATCGATTATTCATCATCAGGGGTTTCCACCAATGATGCCTCCCCCCTGGATCCTATCACTGAAGAAGATGAAAAATCAGATCAGTCAGGCAGTAAGCTTCTCCCAGGCAAGAAATCTTCCGAAAGGTCGAGCCTCTTCCAGACAGATTTGAAGCTTAAGGGAGGTGGGCTGCGCTATCAGAAACTCCCAAGTGACGAGGATGAATCTGGCACAGAAGAATCAGATAACACTCCTCTGCTCAAAGATGACAAAGACAGAAAAGCCGAAGGGAAAGTAGAGAGAGTGCCAAAGTCTCCGGAACACAGTGCTGAGCCGATTAGAACCTTCATTAAAGCCAAAGAGTATTTATCGGATGCCCTTCTTGACAAAAAGGATTCATCGGATTCAGGAGTGAGGTCCAATGAGAGTTCTCCCAATCACTCTCTGCACAACGAAGTGGCGGATGACTCCCAGCTTGAAAAGGCAAATCTCATAGAGCTGGAAGATGACAGTCACAGCGGAAAGCGGGGAATCCCACATAGCTTGAGTGGCCTGCAAGATCCAATTATAGCTCGGATGTCCATTTGTTCAGAAGACAAGAAAAGCCCTTCCGAATGCAGCCTGATAGCCAGCAGCCCTGAAGAAAACTGGCCTGCGTGCCAGAAAGCCTACAACCTGAACCGAACGCCCAGCACTGTGACTCTGAACAACAACAGTGCTCCAGCCAATAGAGCCAATCAAAATTTTGATGAGATGGAGGGAATTAGGGAGACTTCTCAAGTCATTTTGAGGCCTAGTTCCAGTCCCAACCCAACCACTATTCAGAATGAGAATCTAAAAAGCATGACACATAAGCGAAGCCAACGTTCAAGTTACACAAGGCTCTCCAAAGATCCTTCGGAGCTCCATGCAGCGGCCTCTTCTGAGAGCACAGGCTTTGGAGAAGAAAGAGAAAGCATTCTTTGAGAAAAACAAGCAAAGGAGAAGAGTATTACTGTACCCTTATGACAGAATTGTCCTGGATTTTGACTCCATCCATGCCCATCACCTTTCTACATTTCACTGACAGATAAGTAACGGATGATGAGGCCGAGGTAGAAGAGACATCCGCAGTGTGACAGAAGGGAGCACGAGAAGCATGACTCACCAGCCAGCCTCTATTGTCTTTGTAATTAGAAGCTTCAGAACTCATTAATACCACTGTACCTTTCATTGGCGCATTACCCCGTAAAACTTTTTGAGACGAGGTGAGATCTGGGTATAAAGATAGGTCAGAAGTATTTTAAAGGGCTTAATTTGCCAAAAAGAAAAGTAAAAAGCTAGAGACCCTTTTTGCAGAACATTTGGTGCCCACACATTTGAGGGAAGATGTGGCTTTAGATGAAGCAGAAGCAAACCCTGCTCTTAGGGTCTCATCTAGATGAGTGCACAGCCTATGACACTACAGGGAGAGGTCAGTAAACTGAGATCCAGCCTTCTGGGTGACAGAGGCATTGCTTATCACAGAGGTTCTGAAGTTTAAGTAGCAAGTACATAATGAAGAGGGCTTTAAAAATTGCTGAGAAAGCGAGTCACCAGGGCTGGCAGTAGTGTCACGGGGCTGTCCTGAGCTGTTAGGAGAGCAGATGCTGGGAGGGCTGGTGACCTCTGTGGGTTTATCTGTTGGAGACTCTTCTCTCCAAATCCCAGGCTTGGCTTCCAGCACCATCCAGCTGTGCCTAAGAAGCCACCCTGGTCTGTTCTCCAACTCTTTTAAATGCTGCCCAACTTTTCTAAGTGAGCTTAGCAATGAGAAGAAAAAAAAAACATGAATTCTTTTTCTGGAAAATCAGGGAAACATGGATAATAATAGGCACTAATAAATATTTATAGATGAGTGAATGAGGAAATAATTACATCAAAAAGGTCAGTGACAATTGATAAATGACAAGGAAATATTTAATTAGGTAAAACTAAATCATTGCTCTCTATTCTAGGATAGACTTTATCTACTTCGTCTATTCCTAAGTCAGCATGTTAATTCTGGGGGAGGATCATAAGAAAGGAAATACTTTTTAAAAAAAAGTCTAAAAACATGTTACAAAGCAAGGATAAAATTATATATATACACACACATATATATATATGTGGTGTGACTGTAAAACTGTACTTTCCATTAATTATTAGCAGAGTTAAGAGAATGATCACATTGAAGTACTGTGTGGACTAGAAATGTGCCCTGTCATCATGCAATGAAATGTTGTTATCGTTTTCACATAGCTCATTTATGTAGAATGAATTCTGGCGGTTTACCCCACGTCACAGTTAGGACGGTAGATGGTGAGATCGCAGATGCGCGATTATCTAGATTCCGTGTTACATTTTCAATGTTTATCACTCAGTGGATTTTTATTAATATGCTGATTAAGTTATTTACTTGGCCAGTCATTGTGCTAAATAGTTGCTCTTTTGTGTTTCATTGCCGTGATGTTTGAGTGTAATCTAGCATTTTAATACAGTGTTTATTTTGCATGATCTTTAACAAACGTGTTAAGCAATTTTAAAAAGGCAGGATGTTGTTGACATTATACACTGAAGTCTTAACATTTTAATATTTATAGTGCTTATTAGTTTGCAAAGTTGTATACTTAGGAATTATTTCAGAGACAATGTTTTCTTTTTCAGGTGAGTAGTTGCCGCGTAATATCATTGGATACATTCTTTATACTGTTTGTGAAATTAATACTAGCATATTAAGTGTATAAATAGATTTAGAAAACAATAAAAAATTGCATGCTATTCTGACTCATGAATTTTTATTCACTATGATGATTCACATTTTGATTAAAAATAAAAGTAGTTTGTGTGTTTGTTTTGTCACATGTCTGAAGTTTGTTAAAGACTTTCAGGTTCATGTACAGTCATGCCGTTGGCAGAAGTGTTCTGAGCTGCTCCCAACTAGTCTTTGTAAGAGAATGTGACTTGTAAGTCCCAGTGCCTCAGTGGTGCTTTATGAAGCGTTCATGCCCACAGCATGCTAGTGCCCAGCAGCGCTGTGCAGTGCGTTCCTGTAGATAGAAGAGGTAGGTTATCCAGATCCTGGAGGATATCAGTTTATTCCATGAACTTCCTGGAAAAGTTTGCTTTTTCATACTGATCCCGAAATTGACAAACCAGATGAGTTACTGAGTCATACACCGTCTCCCTTGAACCTGTGTGTCTATGTGTGTGTATCTGTTCATAGCTCAGTCTGATTCTCATTTATGCAAAACTCTACTTTAAACTGGGTGAAAAATGATAGAAAAAGAAATTGGTGCTCTAATCTTTCCCTTAGATTCTATGTCATTTAGAGTCCTGTGGGTTTTTTTGTGTGTGGTTTTGTTTGTTTGTTTGAGGCAGGCTCTCTGTCATCTAGGCTGAGTGTAGTGGTGCCATCATGGCTCACTGCAGCCTCGACCTCCTGGGCCCAAGCTGTCTCCCAGCTCAGCCTCCTGCGTAGCTGGGACTATAGGCACGCGCCACCACACCTGGCTGATCTTCCATTTTTTGAGGAGATGCAGCCTTGCTATGTTGCCCAGGTTGGTCTCGAGCTCCTGGATACAAGCAATCCTCCCTCCTCGGCCTCCCGAAGGCCTGGCATTAAAGGCATGAGCCACCATGCCCAGCCGAGTCTTGTGTTTTATATACCATTTTGCCTTCAGTGTAAGCCACAGACAGTTCTGATAATGTAGCAAATAATAAGCCAGATACATTCACTGTGGCCTTATGGAGTGCTGCCTGTGAGTACAGGCTTTCTGCAGGAGAAGACTGGAGATAAAAAGAAGCTGTTGATCTCTTTCAGTTGGAATAACTTCCACAGTGCTGGGTATTTAGGGATCAGCTCTCCAACACTGGGAAATTTAAGCATTCATAATAATGAACATTTTCAATATGAAAAGGAAATTTTTGTTCCCTTTTATGTGTTTCCTTTAATATGCGTAAGTGTTTTATTTTACTTACATGGGTTTATATAGTGGTCAGAATAATTTTGATTGCCTAGCCAACTAATTTTAAATGAAACTTACTTTCGAAAATGCTAATCTCGAGACCTCTTTAGACCATTTGCATGTTAAGAGTGCTGCAGTAAAATATATTTGTAATTATCATTTTTTTTCTTACAAATACTAACCATTAGAAGATATTTTTTGAATGAAAGTAAATCTTATGGGTAAAATACTAAATTTAAAAGGTGATTTTTAGTTACACCCGGAATTCTCAGCCTATTTAGAAGTATCCCATAGTTTAAAAATCCAGGAATCTCTGAATTCCTGGCTAAGTCCTGAGTAAAATCAACATATCTGCCAGGAAAAGCACTAGAAGGCACTGTGCTCCTTCATGGGCGAGTGACGAGGGAATCCGTGGGCAAAACGGAAGGTGCCGTAAGTTAGCTTCTTTGGCCAGCACTCCAGACTGAGCATCGAGGCTCCTTTATTCCCACCTTCTCTTCCAGACGCACGCTGACACTGGGCAGAAGGGAAGAAACCAGTGGGGATACTGTTCTCTTGCGGGGGCAGCATGAGCAGACCCAGGTGGGCTCTCTGAGACTATTGCGTTTTGAATTTCCAGACTGTGGTACTCCCTATCTTCCCTACCTCAGAATTCTAAGCATAGGCCATAATTATGCAACTGAATTGAAAAATAGAAACATATAGGCAACAGCCAGCACTGGATAGTTTTTTAATGGCTTATCACAAAGGTTGAGAATCCCTGGTTGAGACTGATTAAATAGAGAATTTACAATCTTACATAATTTTAAACCCTTTCATGCCTAGGAAGAAAATGCTGGCCTTGAGATAGATAGCTCTTCAGAGGATCCAGATTAAACTAAGGTAGGTAAAAAAAAATTAGTTTTCAAAGTCAGCTACAGTCATATGGCACGTTAGGATGTTTTGGCCAACAAGGGACCACATGTATAGTGGGCCTGTAAGATTCTAATACTGTATTTTTACTGTCCCTTTTCTATGTTTAGACACGCAGATAGCGTGGTGACAGTTGCCTGCAGTATTCGGTACCATGCTGTACAGGCGTGTAGCTAGGAGCAGTAGGTCATGGCACACAGCCCAGGTGTGTCGTAGGTGCCACCACCTAGGTCTGTGTAAGTGTGCTCTGTGATGTTCCCACGACAAAAGGGTGCACCAGCACGTTTCTCAATGTATCCCTGTCGTCAGGGATGCACGGCTGTAATTTTAAGCCAGCTGTTAAAAACGTTCTTGCCAATTAAAGAATTTATATTCTCACCACTTTAACAAATAGCATTAAGTAAGAAGCCTCTGAAGTGGTTGCTAGAAATTAAATATTGTCACCTACCTGGTCAAAACCTTTTAAGTAAAATGATTAGCCAATCGCAGCCTTGGCTTACACTGGCCTCGGAGTCTGGTGTGTGCCACGCTCACGTGCTGTGGGTGGACTGTTTCATGACAAGGACTTTATGGAATTCAGAAGCCCTTTTTGAGTGGGGCCTGGGTAGCTGTAGGATGGGCAGATCTGAATTCCCAGGACAGTGTGGCATTTTGAAAAATAAAGAATGTGTAAGAATAAAAGAGTCAGTCAAGAAGGAGGAGCAATTATTGTCAAACTATTTGAAGGATGACCCTTTAAAAGTCAGTAAAAACCTATCTGGAGTGAAAGACCAACTTAAATGAGCAATAGCATGAATTACATAATATAAAATAAAGACAAACGTTCCTGCTCCAAAGCACATGAAATATTCTGAGTCTGCCTGCGGAGCATCAGCTGCAGTCATCTTACCAAGAGTGCACGTAAGTCCATTTTCTTAGGTTAAATGCGCTTTTTGTAGTGTTGCTTACACTGGTGGTATGTGCTAGGAACCCTTTCTTAGTTTTTCTGAGATTTAACAACGTGGAATAACATGTTCATGGATCAAACTGAATTCTTAGAACTTGAGTAAATGAAACTTCCCTTTTAGAAGTAATGTAGAATTACATGCTCCATATTATTCAAATTAAGAAGCTATTGAAATAATAAGACCACCTTGATTATCCATGATCATTTTCTAATTTTGACATTTTGTACATATTTACCTCGTTTTCTTTCAAGGCAACAGGGGCTCTAGATCTTAGTACCCTGCCCATAGACCCAAGCACTTTCCTCATTTCTTCTGACAGTTCGAGTCACTTCTCACAGTTGACTTCCTCACCAAGTAATAAAGGGGTGAAGAAGACTCGGCCTACCTACCACTCAGTAATCCTGCTGTCCAGTCGACTGGAGAAGAGAGATTTGTTCACCTCTACTAGTTTTATTTGTTCTTAGTAGTTGTAGAATTTAAGTTGGTTTTAATGAAATGTTCCTTCTATGAAATTTTAAATAAAAGCCATTTAGTATTTAGTATATAATTAGTATAGCAAGAAGCATGTGAATAAGCTCTATATAACCTGACATTGCGTATCTTATAGCATCCTCTTGGTCAGATGTCTAATAAAAAGTTAGATCGTTATTTTCAAATTTATCATAGTTCCTGATACTTGCACTTTTTAAAACTGTGTTTATGAGAATTTATAGACTGCATATTGTTATACTTGATGGAAATTAAACTATTTATTTTGAAAGAAGTTAATTTATATTTTGAATTCTTTATGTTTTTCTCCTTTTTCCTGAGTTCTTTTCAGTCATTTTGTGTTGTAAGTTTTTTTTTAGGTTATCATATATTTTTCTTTTTTAGGTTGCCATCCTATTTTACTGTAAAACATTTCTTAGAGCAGTAGATTGGGAAAGAGCCTCCAGACATCTTTTAGACCAAATCCTAGATTTCAGTGGACATTCGATAAATACTTGTTGGCCAGGTGCCGTGGCTCATGCCTATAATCCCAGCATTTCAGGAGGCCAAGGTGGGAGGATGGCTTGAGCCCAGGAGTTCAAGACCAACCTAGGCAACATAGTGGGATTCCATCTCTACAAAAATAAAAATAAATTAGCCAGGAATGGTGGTGTGCACCTGTAGTCCCAGCTACTCGGGAGGCTGAGGTAAGAGGATTCCCTGAGCCTGGGAGGTTGAGGATGCAGTGAGTGGTGATCACACCATTGCACTCCAGCTTACAGTATGAGGCCCTGTCTCAAATAAATAAATAAATAAATAAATAAATAAATAAAACGTGAATAAACTAGGGGAGCAACTCTGAGAGTGTCCACCCACAAATCTTACACAGTGCCTTCAAAATACTAGGCGTGGTGGCTCACACCTGTAATCCCAGCACTTTCGAAATCTGAGGTGGGCGGATCATCTGAGGTCACGAGTTCGAGACCAACCTCACCAACATGGCGAAACCCCGTCTCTACTAAAATACAAAAATTAGGCAGACATGGTGGCAGGCGCCTATGGCCCCATCTACTCAGGAGGCTGAGGCAGGAGAAGCACTTGAACATGGGAGATGGAGGTTGCAGTGAACTGCGATCACACCACGGCACTCCAACCTGGGTGGTTGTGCCACAGCTCCTTACAGGTCCCACCTTCCCTCTCACTTTCTACCCACCCTGTTACCTGCCTGGCCCCTGTAAGCTTTTCTGCTTGTGATTTTGGAAATCTTTCAACTGTAATAGCATGCTTTGTTGCAAACTCTCAGGGACTGAAGCCAGGCATGATGGCGTGCACTTGTAATCCCAGTTACTTGGGGAGGCTGAGGCGGGAGGATCACTTGAGCCCAGGAGTTCAAGACCAGCCTGGGCAACATAGCGAGAACCTGTCTCATAAAAATAAAAAGGAAAAAAATGGGGGGAAAAACCCTCCCAGGGATAGATATTCACAG